CTCCAAGTATAATACATTGATGGAATCAGCTCACAAGGGAGAATTTAAAGAATGCAATGATATACAGGGTGTTCTATAAAAAAAACGAAGTTACTGTTATTTCCTGTTCAACCGGAAGTGACAGATAATTCAAAATATTTCAAAAGAATAGATCACATCACGCAGTGTCTTTACCCCAAATTTCAGATTGATTGATTGATTGATTTATATAGCAAGCTAAAAATGTTTTTATCACTTTCAGATCTCATTTTACGAAATCAATATCGATGAAATACGTAGGTATTCAACTTTTCAAGAAAAAAAAAATACAATCGAATAAAAAATTTGACAAAACATTCATTATAATAATTTATATCGACCTATTCATCAAATTTGGTAAAATTCGGGAAAACTATGATGTCTCTAAATGCGTACCTAATACTTTGTATTATGGTTGAAATAAATGTTCTTACCTATCACCTCTTTTCAGATATATATACATCGATGAACCAAAGATCCTGTTATAGTGCATGTGCGTTCGAAATATAGAGGAACAATAAAAATATAAATTTCAAAAAAAAAATTCTGAATGAAAATATTAATGGGCGGGGATCACAATATAGCCCACGGTCGATGGTACCTTAGACGAATACGGAAAACGGTACATTGGATTATCCTGAAAATTTGGCTACTCTAATAAGCGTTTGTGATCTAACGATTCAAAATATTTTCAGCGATGCAGCGTTGCCACTTTTACCAAAAAGTAGCATCATCTTTGTTATTTCGAATGGAACACCCTGTATTTTATTGCGTTTTTAGATTCTTCTTGAAGAGCTGATTTCATCAATGCATCATACTTGGGGTCTAGCAGGAATTATTACAGAGATACAGGGTGTTTAAAATCGAGATTTTTCAACTTTAGGATTTTTTTGTGTCGAAACTATTCATCATTGGTCAAAACGGCTTCCATGTCCCTATCTTAACTTTCGATTAAATATCTACCGACATTTAATTGGAACAGATACAGGGTGATCAAAATTCTGAATCTTGGACCATCCTGTAGTTTTTCCTATTAAATGTCGGTAGATAGTTGATCAAAAGTTAAGATAGGGACATGTAAGCCGTTTTGACCAATGATGAATAGTTTCGACACAAAAAAATCCTAAAGTTGAAAAATCTCGATTTCGAACACCCTATATCTCTGTAATAATTCCTGCTAGACCCCAAGTGTGATACATTGATGAAATCAGCTCTTCAAGAAGAATCTAAAAACGCAATAAAATACAGGGTGCTCCATTCGAAATAACAAAGATGATGCTACTTTTTGGTAAAAGTGGCTACGCTGCATCGCTGGAAATATTTTGAATCGTTAGATCACAAACTCTTATTAGAGTAGCCAAATTTTCAGGATAATCCAATGTACCGTTTTCCGTATACGTCTAAGGTACCATCGACCGTGGGCCACCCTGTATACGTGAAGACCCCTGTAGTGTGAATCAAATCATCATTATAATTTGCTGTCTAGTATCAAATTCAAGGCAATTGTCTGCGACTGTTCTCCATCGGGTTTTGTAATTTCCCTCTCCCTTCTTGAAGTTTTCTTCTTCTTTGTTGAGAAAAGGCGCCTTTGTGGTAAAATTAATTTATTCCCAGGTTGAGAATGTCGCTCAGGAGTTGATTGAAAGGTAACTTCGTTTTACTTAGACCTACGCAATGCATCGATTGTAATCTTTGCAGGCGCACAAATTTTCTTCAAAATATCCAGTTCTTCGAAAGAACCTACGTCATCAAACAAAATTTGCATTGCATTGGAAAACTCTTGTTTCGCTTTCATCAATCGTGTCTCTTCATTACTTTTCCTGCTCAATTCGGCCACGAGCATTTTCTTTTGAAAATCATCCTCACTTGCTTCAACGATTTGAAGTTCTCTTTCTTCATCGGATGATGAAGTACTTGGTATTTCCGATGCAATAGGCCTTTTCATTTTGATGAAAAATGCCAATCTCTGTTTATATCTCGCATCCAACGACAGTGGCGGCCATTATTTACCGAAACACTTACACCATAGTACCACACTCCTTAGTAACGAGCAAGTAAGTTTTTTGGAATTAAATTATCATAATACAATTAATACACACCAGGAATATAAAAATAAAAATACTATGTTGTTATTGTTGTTTCTCTATGACGAATGCCCATGGTGGTTGACACTGTTGACATTTGACAGAACGTCAAGAATACCCGTCATATTCGAAATGACCAATCAGCAATTTGTGTTGGAACTATAGCCAATGAGACTTCACCTTCGCATTACCCAATAAATTTTTGGATCTAAGAACGAGCGCATGCGTCTCAAAAATATATCTAGATGAAAAGGCCTATTTGTTGTTCGGCTCTACCTTTCTTATGCAAAGTAGGTGTATGTGTTTGCACATATTCCATTTAATACTATTATCGACACATGTGCATATATATTTATGAATGCATGTATTACAATCTGTACATACGATATTACACGTGCACCCAGCCATGTTTTCTTGAATTGAATAAACCTCTGTGGGGTTCGTAGTTGAACATATTTTCCATCCAATATTGGTGTCCTCAATGATTTGTTCTGAATCAAGCTGCAAACTTGCTACATGCCTTTTCCTCAAAGTTTGTACTTTGCTTGTAATTTTACCCTTATGTAGCATTATAAGCCTATCAAAAAGACGATCATTTATAAATTTCTTGGCGCGCTGCAACGCTAGTCGCTCCGCTCTTGTCGAGTTGTCGCTTCTAATGGTTCTCTCTCTGACGAGATGTAATATTTCCCCCACCACCGGAGTTATTACTTGCGGCGTGCTTGCGGCCGTCCGCAGACGCTAGTCTACTTTCCTGCCCTCAGATTCCTGGCTAATGCCACACAGAACATTGATTGAATTACATTTACCATCGGGCAACCAGCCACTTCCGTATGGGAATTTCAGTTTTGGGGTGATTCTTTCCTTCTGTTCTACTCAGATGGCGTTGCTTTCGTATTGTCGATGAAAGATGCCTCTGGGGGAATATAATGCCGACTTTTGTAGCTACGCTTCGTTGAGTCGGTCTTAAGGGCGCCGTACATTATGCTATTTCTCGGCAAGTTTAAGGCAATGCAATTTTCTCGCAATTTTCTCAATTTATTGCGAGTCGCCGTACATTGAGATATTTCTGTCATATTTTCTTGTTCATATTCACTATTTTCAGGGTTTTTGAGCCTTCAATGTACTTTTTGAGGATATTTGGTGTTTCAGGCCACGTTATGGTGAAAATTTTGATTTTATCAAGATGCTAAATACGATGAATATTACTAAAAATTTTACTAAACTTGCCTTGAAATTGCAGGAAAAATAGGCCTGGTTCTATTACGGAACTTGCATGAAACTTGCCGTGAAATATCATAGACGCATGCGCATTGTTCGATTCAAAATCGCATAGCATCGAACTTGCTGGTAAATAGCATAATGTACGGCGCCCTTTATTTAGGACTTCTGGCTGGAGACTACACTGCACTGATGAGAGTCAAAAAGCTTGAAACCGGCCTGTGGTTGTCAAGCGTGGCCTGGCTAAATCGGAATCAATAGGCATTCAGGAAAGAATCACTCGTATCAGTATTCGTTTTTACGAGTCGATCCATAGATTTCGGGAATATGTAATTCAATGTTCTGCGTGGCATTAGCCAGGAAAGTAGTTGTTTTTTCCCGAAATCTACCATAGTTGTTTATTTCATGAACATTGTGTGGAAATGGCTTTGAGCTTTTTGTATTTATTTATATATTATTATATTCAAATAAATACCCATACCTATGACATAGGTGTAGGAATTGACTAGATCGTTTGGTCACGACTAGACTTCCACCCATATATTTGCTGTTTGTAATAAGTATTGTTATTATTTTTTTTTCTTTTTGATGACGACAGAATATAAATTATTACTTTCGCCAAATGGCTCAGGATGTATGGCTTTTCTATGGCATTTAACAGGCAGCAATAAAAGTTTGTTGCTATACAACGCGCGCGCTCCAAGTAATTTATTGAAAATGGGTGAACACAAAATGATGAAGTTTTCAATAAAAAATTACACAAAATTGGTTTCATAACATTGGGAGAAAAAATTATATGTTTTACATATGGCGGCATTCCTGAAACTATCAGCCGCGGCAGTCACCACTATTTTGCTGCAAAGTAACACAATATATAGTTATTTGTTTTACTAGTCAAAAAATTAGTAGACTGATTGCCGCCACTGCTGATATAGTTCATAGCCGAGCGTAGCGAGTATTGCAATGAAGAAATTATGGTCTCATCGGTTTCGTTTTATTCGTTCAATCGATTTAGGGCAGTATAATATCTTCGAGTATTCAATAAGATGCCTGTATTCATCTAGTATGTAATATGGAGAATTAGACGGTATGTTTGATAAAGGGCGCCGTACATTATGCTATTTCTCGGCAAGTTTGAGGCAATTCAATTTTCTCATTTTATTGCAAGTCGCCGTACATTCAGATATTTCTGTCATATCTTCTCGTTCATATTCACTATTTTCAGGTTTATTGAGCTTTAATGTACTTTTTGAGGTTATTTATGGTGTTTCAGGCCACGTTATGGAGAAACTTTGTATTTTATCAAGATGCTGATGAATATTAATAAAAATTTTACTAAACTTGCCTTGAAATTGCAGTAAAAATAGGACTGGTTCTATTACGAAACTTGCCGTGAAATATCATAGACGTATGCGCATTGTTCGATTCAAAATTGCATTGCTTCGAACTTGCTGGTGAATAGCATAATGTACGGCGCCCTTAATAAGACAACAAATTATTTTTGTAATTTCGAAAAATAGTATGATGACGGGTAAATATGTAGAGTCATGAGCACGGTCTAGATATTTAGCCGCCAATGGTAGTATTTATTACCAGTACTGTACCCAGTGCACGACAGCCGAACACATACGCATGTCTAAATTTTTTTGACAGATGACATACGACTAATGTTCGTATTTTATTTTTGGGGTTAATGGTCAATGTTTTGAAGTATATTGTTTTTTTTTCTAGCATTCCCAATCAATAAAAATATTCATTACATATTTACACTTTTCACAACATGTTGAAGCCGAAGGCCTTGACACAAGTTTTGAGTCAAGCTAATACTGGTGGTGTAGAAACTACACTGTAAGTTTTCATTATTAATGTTGTTATACCCTCCTGCAAAACAGAAATCTTAAGTTTCAAGTTTCAGGCTCCTAAACACAGAAGGATCACTACTGGCTTATAGTGGTTATGCTGATAAAGATGCAAGAGTGACAGCAGCCATAGCTAGTAATATTTGGAGTGCATATGAAAAGAATGGCCGCAATGCTTTTAGAGAAGATCATCCACAAATAATACTAATGGAATGCCTAGAAGGCCGAATAGCTATCACACAAGTTGCGAATGTACTTCTTTGTTTATATGCCAGAAGTATAGTTGATTTTGGAATACTTAAACAAAAGGCAAATGCTTTGGCATTATATCTAGAGGGACCTTTGAAACAAGTAGCATCATCTGAGAGATGAATAATGTATATACTATTATAGCTCTAAAATATGTATTCAATATTATAATTGTTCATATTTGATTCATTCATCAGTTATCAGATGTGTAATATAATTAAAATTGTCAAATTCAGAGCTGGATTTAGGGGCCTGGACTCTGGAGAAACTGGGGCAACAAAAGAGTGGAGGCCCCCAGCCCTCATATTATTTTCCAAATAAAATGACAATTTTTTTCAGTCCTGATAATTTATTGTGGAAAAATAATTATCTGAAATTGAATTTTTACATCAACCAATAGAACATTGCCAGCTTTTTGAAAAATCACTTTTAATGCCTAGTAGAGATGGCTTAGATAGATGGTTCTGTCCTAATCTAATTTTAAACCTATATCTTATGATTTTAGATTTTAAAATTAGCGTTTCCAGTACAGTTTGATACCATCAATACCAAATAAATTCTCAGTGCAATTTCAATAATTGGGAATGTAGCAATGAAATTTTCATCTAGAATGTGGTAGTGAAATAGCTCCATAGATTGGTATTTTTCATGGTCTTTTCTGTATTGAATCCGCTAAAAGACGCAAATTGAACCAACTCATTACCAAGACACTATGTTCCAAATCATCTTTGTACACTCACCAATGCCTCATCAGATGCAGCATGCAAATTTGCAGCATCCATCTTCTCCTGGATCTTCTCTGTGTGATTAAGACATTCAAATCTCATATACATCTCCCATGCAATCTTTCAGTAAGAGAAACACTACATCTGGTCTTTGAATGTATCTTTTGTTTAGTGGTGTCATTTGCGTCTGGTACTTTCATGTCATTGTCATAGAGAGGATTCAACATAACATTTCTTGTTCTGGTGAGTGATTGTGTGCATATAGCCAGGAAAGTAGTTGTTTTCTGTTGAATAAACCAAGAAAGATTTGATATTTTTTATCAAATAGAGTGCAAATTCTCAATGTATTTCTTTATATATACAGTGTGACCCACTTCTAATGGAAACACCCCTGTAACTTACATAATCGTTGGGTAAGGATCCTGAAATTTGCTGAAGCGAGAGATATATTAAAAATGCACTCTATGACCAAGTGGGGTCATCTTCAGTGATATACACTGCTCGCCAACAGCCATGGAACCACCCCGATTCGCCCTGATTTCCAGAAAATGATATTAGGAGCCAAAATAGGTCGACATTCACTTCAGATTCGGAATCAGGACGCCTAATTCACTAACTATTCATATTTTTCCTGCAAAATTTTCAGTTCTGAAAAATTAAAATTTGGCGCGGCACTTTTTACGGAAGCACCCCTGTATCTTATGTGATTGACTTTATCTTTGAACTTTTCCAATGAGAAGTGAGACAAACCTAAATTTTTCTGAACTGAACATTTTCTAGGAAAACTATGAACAGTTAGTGAATTGGGCGTCCTGATTCCGAATCCGAAGTGATTTTCAACCTATTTTGACGGGGAATCCCTTTAAAAAGAAACTGTTAATTTATGGTGCTGCCAAAAACAAACCTTTTGGCAATACCCCTCATATACCATTCTGGTATATGGAATTTTCAATGAAAATAATAGTATGCGCTCTCAGGGCACGAGGCCCTTATTCATTTATTGAGAACCCGTTTTTTCATCAAGTATTCGAATTCTAGCCTATGGGCATCGGCAACAATTCAAGAAACAGTAGCATAAAAAAATTGTTTTAAACTCCAAAACGTTGAATTAGACTGAAGATGGTATTTTATTAGACCGAAACATGTCCCTTATGATTATGTAACATCATTAAAATTTGCGGAGATGACTTCGAGCATTATTCCTTCCTTTGAAATATTTCACTCCACTTTGAGCAATATGGACTTCTTCGAAAGATTATCTTTAGTATTATTAATCGTGAACATTTTCTATGATTGGCGAAAATAAAACGAAAACATTAATATCACCACTCAATTTTGATTCTATTTTTATTAAGCCGACCCCTGATGGCATAAACAAAACACTTAGGTAAGCCGACGCCATCTACCTTGCCGCCGCCTATGAACAAAATGGATGCTGGGTTGATTTCGATACCACGTCAAAGTCATGAACGGCGACAGCTGGGAGGGTCCTGCGTATTGAGCAGAAGCGTTTTCAGGCGAGCAACTGACCCTACATTTTCGGGTTGCTGCGATATGACTATACTATAAGAGTCTAGATAGAGGAATGAGTCGCTGTTGATTGTTGATTGTTTTGTGTGATAATTCTCTGCAAATGATTAATAAAGTGATATTTAAATGAGATATTTCTGTGGTATCGTGATGCGTTATTCCTCTGATATAGCGGTAAAATATTGGTACGACATCCAAACGAGTGTGACAAATGTACGTCCCTGTGACGTCTATGCCACTACCTGAATCAATGTCGCAGTACTCATGGCGATTTATCATAGCGACATCGCATTGCTAGCTGGGTTGCACCCCCAGTCAAGAATAGGTACTTTTGATCGCTTCCATATACGTCTTGTTTTGAAAGTGTTGCGGAGCATACTTGGTTTTCATTTTGAATTGGGATAGCATGTGATGCGAGTCGTATTCATTTTACCACCACTTTATATCAGTTTATTTAATGACAAACTTATAAATGATGAATCCAGTTCGATTTTCTAAATACATCAGCTTTTGTCTCATGGTATTAGTGGTCTAAATCAGGGGTGACCAACTTATCCGTGAATAATGATCGACTAGTTTTCTTGAAAATGTGTCGCGATCTACACCCTACTATTTTCGAAAATCATCAGGAGTGCATGCTTGTCGGATTCACCCTTTTTTTACAGCTTCCTTTCGCCCTATTTAATTTTGTCTCCTGTCAGGTGTGATCGACTAAAAATCGTCTCGCGATCGAGGTGTTAGTCCTGGTCTAGATAGTGGTATATCAGTGGTGGAATTGAATTCTCCATAAGGAGGCGACAAATGAAAAATATCTTTCAAGTTTCACGATGATGTCACAATGTATACCTAGTCACCTAAACAATGTGACTAGGTATTCATTATCCATCTCTTCAATGAGGAACATAAGGGAAAAGATTCATTAACAAGAACAATTAAATATTTTCTTCAATTTAGGTAGAACATTTATTATATCAAACAATTAATATCAAAAATGCATTTAAAAGTATAGGTTCCAAATAATTCGAAGTTGAAAAGTATATAAATATGCTAAGGAAGATTGTATTGCTCATAATGAGAAAGGAAGCAGAACATAGTACAAGATGAAATTGAGGCAATCCATTAAAGACAGAATACTATTACAAGACATATCTAGCAAGATATTGAAAAATATCATTTAAATAAACATCTATACAAAAACAGAGCGTATACGTTCGATAACAAAAATCACTGTACACCTACCAAGCCATGGAGAAGGATAGCATGACATTTGTTAACTAAAAGTTCAACATTAATTTTCAACCATACATCTTTTGTCATAAATCTGTGTGGTACATATATATTTGAGGTGTTTAAAAACCGTCAACTATCAACATCTCAGTGGGTTATGACTTTGAAAACACATATTTATTCATCAACTCTATATATCTCTGTGGATTTCCAGACCATCAGACGGGCACTGAAGATACGACTTTCAAATCGTTTATGCTTCATACGGCTCATGAGATTTCACTCAAATTTGGTACGTTAGCGAATTTCCATTGGGCAATGAAAACATTACATGATATTGATAAATATCATATCATGGGCGTAGAACTCGATTTTTTCAGTTAATGAACATCTGAAACATCTACAACAATGGAAAGAAAGGGGTTTGAATATGAAATTTGGATTTCGAGCTTGTTTACTACAAACAAGGTGATCTTGACAAAATTCGATTACTCTCATGGTTTTGGTCTGAGGAAAATGCGGTAAGTTTCTGTAAAGACCTTTTAGGGACACCCTGTATAAATAAAACATGGAAGGACAATATATGACGGTAGGCGAAGAACGTTTACGACCAACAGGCGATCATAGAAATTGGTTGAGGCATCTGCGCAGTATGCACCTAAAAGCACTGCATGTCTTTGATCGCTGCTTTTGAGATTGAAGTTTGGCTATACTAGTTGATTTTATCCCAGCCGGCTTCTCTGTAAACTCATTATCGACTGTCAGCTACCTATTTTTACGTTGTTTGCTGCTGTTTTATCATCGATCGTGAGTTTATTTATACGTCCGCTGTTTTTGTTTCATGTGGTACGGCATATATTGCAGTAACAGCGATGATAATATGTATAAGGAATGTTTTGAATTATCCAAGGCCAGTCTAGTACGAAATACGCATTGCGCATACTCGTTAACCAACTTTTCCAAACTCATCACGTGGTATGCGCGAGTTTGATTCAGCGTAAAACTGAGAACTAGAATTTTCCTTCCATTAGTTTTTGTTTGTTATTTATAGGTCAATGAGATGTGATAGTTTGTGAACACCCTTTAGATAAAAATAATAAAATCACCGAATATCGCCATGGAAACCCGGATATAAGTATACCAACTAGAATTTAAAAATCGATCGATCATTTCGTGACTTCCTGAGAACATCCAGATTATATTAACGCCAGATTCTTGAATAATAGCAGACCGGAATTTAATTGTTCTGTGAACCCATATTATCTCACTGAAGCACAAAAGAGGACTGCACTATTCTTTCAATAACACTGATCCTCATCTGATAGAAACGAAATGATCTTGACCTACAGAAGTCTACATGAGATTTTAATGTCAAAATTACTATTTTTCAAATGAACATGTATCCTAAAATGCACCCCCACAGAGTTACAAACCCATCTAAAATTAGGCGAGATCAAGTTTATGCTAAAATGAATAGAGCACCTAAAGGAACAATAACAAGTTGGTTAACCTGAAAAAATGAAATTTCACGTGTTTTATTGATTCCTGATGTTTGACAGGTGAGAACTGAACCATCATTTACCTATACCTATACATACCCCTTGGCTTCTAGACCTCCGACAGGGGAGCACAACAAAAATCCGATTTTTTTTTAAAAACCAACGCGCTGTGACTAATAAGCCTCTAACATTGAACACAGGATTAAAAATGGCAATGAGTACCTAGTTAGAATAAATGGAGTGGCTCAATGAATTTGAGCATGTATTATATAGAATACTGACACTTGGTAAGCAGACATAACCACAAATAATTTTCATTTTTCATTGTGTGCCAACGGGCCTTTCCAGTCATTCTAGAAAATATATATA